CTCTCCGCCTGTACTTAAAAAATGTACATAGTTAGTGGACGATTTTCCGCTGTACAGTTGGATGGTCTCGGCAAACATTCGCTTCGCGCCTCCCCCATTCTTTGTACAATCGTTCTGTTAGGATTTCAGATGTTTAACGTGTTTTTCCCTGTATATATATATATATATAAATATTATTAGTGTCATTTTGGGCGGATGTTTGCCCCGATCCGTTCAAACTTTCGGTTTGTCGTCGTCTAATCGTTTAGAGAACTGCACTTTAATGTTAAAAAATGGGCCGCTGTGTGGGCGCGCTGCACGTTTTGGCGGATGCGCCCCCAGGTCGAAATTAGCAGGCGCTGAAGTTTTGGACAATTTTAGGCAATGGCGAATGCGCCGTATATTTCGCCGGGTTGATCCTTATGGATTAAGCAGTTTTGGGCCTAAATGCGTGGAGCTTCAAGGGCTTTTTGGCCTAAAAGTTACTATTTTGCTGACTGTTGGTTGCCCACAATCGCATTTTCAGCAGCCCCCCAGTCTGCAGGCTATTTTTCAAAAATTCATTGCTCCCAAACCGGATTGGCTGGCCTGTTGCTCTTTGCTCTACTGGATAGAGCACAGCCTGCTCTATAACTACGGAAATATTATCAACTCGGCGCTGACTTGAGCCACTTTTCAGGCACTTGTTTGCTGATGGCTTTGACAAACCACTTCCCATTCTACATCCGGTTGTAGATCTGGTTACTTCCGGTTCTTCCGGTTCTGGAAGCCCTCGTTTGAAAGCGCGGACACTCGGGATTGTTCCACTTTTTGAATTTTTAAAATCGGCTCACAATTCGGTTTGCTACGTAGTGAACAGTGTGGACGGTTTGAAAAACCGGATCTTCGAAAGTTCATCAGGCCGTAGCCTTGGCGTCTTAAACCACTTTCGGTTTACCAGACAGTCAGTCAACAGCCAACACTTCGAGCTGTCTTTTACAGTTTAAAATTCCAAAATACGCCCTTAATTAAGTAAGTTTTGGGGCAAAGACTGTTGATGGGTTTGTAAAACGCACTTCAGATCCTACAGCTGGCTGTAGCCCTGGAATCTTCCGGTTCTTCCGGTACCCGGAACTTATAGAGCAAATCTTGCTCTATATTTCCAAGCAGTTTGATCGTGATCTGTGTGCTCACCGATTTTTAATGAATTTTCAAACCTTGGATGCAACAGCGCTGTTTTCCTCCGCTCTACTTTGCAGACGGTTTTTCAAAAAATTATTCCTCTTAAACCAGCTTGGATGCCAACGTGCGCTTTTGGGCCCTTTATAGAGCAAATCCTGCTCTATTTTTTCAAGCAGTTTGATCGTGATCTGTGTGCTCACCGATTTTTAATGAATTTTCAAACCTTGGATGCAACAGCGCTGTTTTGCTCCGCTCTACTTTGCAGACTGTTTTTCAAAAAATTATTCCTCTTAAACCAGCTTGGATGCCAACGTGCGCTTTTCGGCCCTTGATGGAGCAAATCCTGCTCTATTTTTGCAAGCAGTTTGATCGTGATCTGTGCGTTCACCGATTTTTAATGAATTTTGAAACCTTGGATGCAACAGCGCTGTTTTCCTCCGCCCTACTTTGCAGACTGTTTTTCAAAAAATTATTCTTGTTAAACCAGCTTGGATGCCAACGTGCGCTTTTCAGCCCTTTATAGAGCAAATGCTGCTCTATATTGTCCTTTCAGTGATTTTTAATGAATTTTCGACTGCGCCAATTTATGGAAGAGAGCAAACCAATTATTTTACTGGACTTTCGAACTCTTATAACCAACAAGTTTTTCAAGTCGATTGAAGTTTTAAATCAGGCGATTTTTAGAGCAAATTTAGCGCTTTCTCCAATGCGATTCTGGGTTCCCAATTCGTGTCTTTAATGAGAGAGTTTTGGGCGAAAATCGGTGGAAAAATTGCAGTTTTTTTGAAAATTCTGTTCTGAGTCCTCAAATGCCTCAAATCGCTGAAAACTGTCCAAAACAACAAAACCAAACCAGCCAATTTGGAATGTTTTGGACTTTTGCAGCCCGGACAGTTTATTTGCTCGATTCTTGGTACTATGGCGGATGCGCCCCAAAACAGCAAAACTGAACCCTGCAAGGTACCAGTAGAAATTGCAGAAATGTGGGGTCCTAAAGGGCTTTTGCTGTCGGGAACCCGAAGCCTCGGCGTCACTTGCCCGTTCAATCCACCCCAGAAGGGGTTTGCACGCAACGGTCGCGCATCCGCCAAACCGTCCAGCGACCAAAAAACACACGCCAGCGGCCCAAATCGCCTAAGTAGTAAATGTGTCATTAGGGAAATAAATCTGTGTAAATTAACGAAAACTTAGACGAATGCATGCGGCGTGGGGAGAGATAGACAGATGAACTCTAGTCAATTTTATGTTTGGTCAATTCTAGGAAGCGGCGCAGCCGCCTTTGTTAATCATTAGGGGAAGCTGGCTGGCAACAGAGGGCGCCAGCAGACATATCCTAGGCCAGGCAGCTTCGCCCGCTTAGTCCGGGCGCCAATGTTCATGTTGCATGCACATATCATTCTAGTGTTTATACTTTCCTAAGCGACCGACAGCCAGCCACTGTCTCAAAGTGTGTACAATAACGTTAACTAACTGAACTCACCTCGATTGTCTGTGTTGGTTCCTCTCGGTGGAAGCCAGTTAGGGTTTGGTGAATGGGCGCTTCTTCACCGGATGGCGAATGCGCTCCCACATCAACTAGCAGATGGGCGCTTCCCGGGCGCCTTCAGTTGCTTCGGCCCAAATCCATTCGCTACAACGAATTCGCCGGACTGCTTCGCATTTTGAACCCACTGGAAAACACAAAAAAAAAAACAGACAATAAACCCACTGACTAATGAACGAGTGCGGCGAGCGGGAGGCGCCCACCTGGCGCCAATCTATACAACTAATTATCAGTATTTACGATAGCTTTTCGAACGGCTAGACCCTCCTACCATGTACTAAATAACAATATAATAAAACTAATAAATCAATGAGTTGAGCAATAAGGGGGGCGACGTTTCACTTTCCCGTCCACTGGCGCCCTTCAAGGCGGCCAGTGCAGGTTCAATGACAACGCTAGAGAGTGCGAGAGGCCGGCAGGCGGCGTTGCCAGCACTACTGCGCTCGTAGCCGATTTGGGGCGATCGGCAATTTTTATTAGCGGCCGACACTTTTTCTCCTCAGAAATCACTTTTTTGGGGTGCGTTTTGTACGGCCCAGTCTGCGCTATAGGTGGAAAACGTTTCGAGTTTCAGTCATCTTCAGGCAATTGTCTAGGATTTTTCAAAATCTCGACTGTTTTTAATGGAGAATTTTGCAGGCTGGAGTTTCGCATGTTGTTCCCTGTTTAACGTGTCAAACGTCAATGTCAGTTTTGGACGCCTTTTGTAGGATGACGTCCCTTCGACAAGTGGGGAAAGTTTCGATTTTTCAGACATCCCCAGGAAATTTTCAACAATTTTTTAAAATCTCGACTGGTTTTAATGGTGAATTTTGCAGGCTGGAGTTTCGCATGTTTTTCCCTGTTTAACGTGTCAAACGTCAATGTCAGTTTTGGACGCCTTTTGTAGGATGACGTCT